TAGAACTACTATCGACTAGCGTATGCAATCCCAAAGCCTTACACCAGCTCAATCAGGTACACACCAACATTGACTCTCGGTGTGAAAAATGGCATATGAATATCCTTCAAATAATGACCAACCAATCATAAAGAAACCATGAACCTCAGATGGAGACCTTGGACACTCTTCCCAGCATCGTCACTGCAATCTTATATATTTCAGTCACAATACCACTGGATTGACGAGGCACTTTACGAATTGAACTTCATGCAACCAAAATTTTCATTAGAAGAATTTATCCATGACATTATCTTCCTCCGGGGCTTTAATAATCCCTTATTGATGCTCAAATAATAGCTCTGAAAAACTCGGCATATCAATAGAACTCTCATTTCCGAATTAGAACTTCTCGATCCTCCTTGGATACGCACGCTCTTCTCATAATTGTGCCACATACCCGACTCGCAACATGTTCATCACCAAGGCTACCGAACCGAAAGAACATTCGATTCTTGAACATTCCCTTGCTGAAAGACATAAACGAATCACCATAAATCAAATGATACCCCCTTGCATCAGAAACTGATGCAGAGAATACCCTCCTTTTTTATCAGTCGACTGAAACACATCCAATCCCTTCCCCCCTCAAATAAGGGATCTTGGAAGAACATAACCCCATCGTATAGAACCACGTCCCAATCCAACAGCCGACTACCCATCCTCAGGCTACAACCCTCGGGTTGATCATCATATTCACTTCCTACATGATCTCACGACTCAAACTGGTACTTCTTTGAATAAGGTCTTTCACACCTTAAGACCAACTAACTCGTACAGACCTGTACCCTTCCGATCCAAACTGTCATGGCCACTAAGGCCCAAACAAATACCAGGCCCATCTCCATCCTGAACAAAAATAACCAAAAGACCAAAAAATATGGAAACACTGCAACAATCATTGTGACAAACCATGCTAACCCTCAACCTGCTCCTTAGAAACCCTATGATTTTCCTTGATTCGAGTATGGATCCTGTGTTTCCAGTAGTACGTGCCCAATACTACCTTCCACACTTATTCGTACTTTCCTCAAGAATCATCATGGATCCTCTAAGTCACTTCTCAATGACCATTCTCATAGATCCTCACGCTAAAGAACATACTAAGGCACCACCTAGGATCTCCTAGGATTCCACATCACATATAAGCACGCTTTAATGATGTTCCTAGTCCATCAGGAACCCTACCTCATCCTGTTCTCAGCCACATAGGAAACTTCTACAAATTTAAATTAACCATCGTACGAATACAATTACAAATAATAAAGATTAAACAATCTATCGACTAAAAGATCCTTCCCTACAGCGGTTGGACTCAAACCAGAGTTGCGCAATAGAGCCAAATCAAGAAATCTAAAATTGTTTAATCTTTATGGCTTGCAACCTAACATATTTGTTTAATAGTTAACTATCATCAATATAGGTCTCACATAACACAAAGCAAGCAACATTCGAGCAGCGAAACCGACTGGCAATAAGGCATCATAAATATCAGGAAATCCTCACACGCAATTCCTAAAGATCCTTAGCCTAGTCGCTATATGGCATCTCTACCAATTTATAAATCCTGCATAAAAGGCATCTCTCCTAGGCAGGCATTCTAGCATGCATCCATGAGAAGATCCTTATTCTAAATTCTAGCATGCATATCATACCATAACACATATAACATATCCATATGTATGGGTATTTTAGGAATCACTTGCTTGAGCTCGGCTGATAGCATGCATCATACCCCTTTCTTTATAGAAACCTTTTTAGAAAAAATTATTTTCTTTTAAAAGATTTTATCAAATCCTCAGTTTAAGTTCAAACACCCGAGAGTATTCCCGAGTACCTCAAACCAAGGCTTTGATATCAACTTTTAACGTCCCAATTTTCAAACCAAAATTTTCATTTAAAAATAAAAGTATTTATTCAAATTACAACTTCAAAGATATAGATAAAACCATTTGATTCAAAAGCATTTATCAGAGTATCATCAAAAGTTATTATATGTGGAAATCTCCAATGAATGCGATGCAATCGAGGCGTGCCCCTCCTTAATATAAGATTACCTGAAAACATTTAAACCACAAATCGTAAGCATAAAGATTAGTGAGTTCCGCAAAATACCACATAACTATACAGGCCTCGCCCATAATATATCAGGCCCCGCCCATCCAATTATAATGGGCCTCGCCTAACGTATTGGGCCCTACTCAACATAACGGGTCATGCCCAACATAACGGGCCCTACCCAACATAACAAATGGTCCCCGTCCAGTACACAATGCAAGAGTCACAAAGACAACTAGCATCCTATACAGTACATTAAAAAGACTCACTTGAACTATTCGATAAAAGCGCAACAGCTACATCAGCAACAAACAACCAACCCAAGCTTCCTAAAGCCAAACCAAGACCATTCCTTAGCCAAATACTTAATTCCACCTAAATGTGACCAAAAGTCAAACTTGTCAAAAAGTTAGCCGGCGAAGTCAACTAAGATGACCCCCACCTCGTGGTAATTCCTCTGCCACATTGTGGTCACGTCCCAACAAAACAGACGCGTTGTAGTGTGCCACCACGCTGTAGTCCTTCCTTGTCCACGTCATGGTTTTGGTCAAAAAGATTTTTCTTCATTAAGAGCTTAATCCTTAAGGACCCAAAACTCATATCATCATATTTGGTTCCTAATAGCTTCATAATGGATGAAGTTTTCAACATTATCCATTAGGATGGTCCAAACAACCAAGATCTAGTCTTTAAGTCTCAAAAGGAATAAGAATGCATCTTTCTCAACTTAAGTCGCTAAGTCCAAGTCTCTAACCTTCAAATCTGAATCAACATAATGTTTTGGTGGATAAAGTTTTAAACTTTATCCATAATAATGTCTCAAACTTTCAAGATATAAAATTTAATACACCAAAATGACCTAAAGGACCAAGATAACTTGCATGGCTAAAAGGGAAGGCAAAAGATCATAACTTTCCTAGTCCATGAGGTTTAAGAAGCATTCCAAACTGATCAAAAGGTGTTGAAGTCCACTAAACTCAAATATCACCCATAAAATGTACCAAAAGTGCCAAAAAAACACAAATAAAGAGAATTAAATAACTTTTGACAAGCCCCATAAAATGTACCAAAAGAAGCATTCCAAGTTGATCCGTTTTCAGTGATCATTAGATCTACGCAAAGGTATTGACAAGCCCCACAATTCTATTCAATTACTTTTGACTTAAATCACACCAAACTAAATTCATTAATTCATGCAAGTGGTCTGAAACATCACTTTTCCCATTTTACCATTTGGTTCCAACATACAAATCAAGGGCTTAGATCTCATAACCAATATTATCAACATTCAATTTGGTTCCAACCACAACTGGGTGTTACAGCTTTTTTGTTGACTTCGTAAAACTTTATATGGTCTCAAACAAGCACCTTGTACTTGGTTTGAGAAATTCTCCATATTGATTACCTCTCTTGGGTTTATCTAGAGCAATCATGATTCGACTTTGTTTATTAGATGCACGAGTGCAGAATGGATTCTTTTTTCCTTTATAGGGATGACATGATTATTACTGGTGATTGCCATGGTGGTATTGAGTCTTTGAAGCATGATCTAGCTCATCGATTTGCTATGAAGGATTTGGGTTTGATGCGTTATTTCATGGGTATTAAGATAGCTCAGTCTATGAAAGGGTATCTTCTTTCTCCGACTAAATATATATCTGACTTGTTTACATGGGTGGGCCTCTCTGACAATCAAACTGTAGATACTCCTCTCGAAACGAATGCATGGTACTCTCTTACTTATGGTGTTCCTTTGTCTAATCTGATTCTTTACTGGACTGTTGTGGGAAGTTTGGTTTATCTCACAGTTACGTGTCCGGATATAGCTTATGTTATTCATGTTGTCATCAAGTTTGTTACTCCTCCTACCTATGTTAATTGAGGAGTTGTACTCCGTATTCTGAGATATCTTCGTGGAACTAAGTTTCAGACCCTCTTGTTTTACTCGACGTCATCTCTTGAGTTGCGTGCCTATAGTGATGCTGATTGGGATGGTGATCGTCATGATCATAAATCCACCACCGGATTTTGGGAGTTTCTTGGAGAGTCTCTTATTTCATGGAAGAGCAAGAAACATGATGTTGTCTCTTGATCTTCCACGGAGGTTGAGTATCGTGATATGGTTATGACTACATGTGAGATTATTTGGTTACGGTGGCTTCTTGCGTATATGGGGGTTCACATTTCTTCACCTACTCCCTTGCATTGTGTTAACAAAAGCATGATACAAATTGCGAAGAATTTTGTTTTCCATGAGCGGACGAAGTACATTGAGATTGATTATCACTTCACCCCTCATCACTTACAGTTCAAGACCATATCGCTTTCGTTTGTTCCATCAACAGCTTGCGGATGTTTTTACGAAGGCTCTATCGGCGTCTCTGTTTCGTTTTTTGTGTGACAAACTCTCAATGCTTATTGATATGGCATTGTGAGTTTGAGGGGTGGATGTTATCACATATGTTATTAGCCCACATGTTTATGGGTCATTTAGTCTTTAGCCCATTAGGGTTTGGTTCCTTAGCTAGTATTTAATCCTTTTTTTCATGTTTGTAGCTCTTAGACTTTCTAATGAAGAACTAGCACTTTCTCTCTTTCAATACATGAATGTTATTCTATTATCACATCAATAAACTTGGATATTACTGGCTGTGCTACTTTTACTCGGTAAAAGCATTTCATGCTTTTGGGATGATAGATAATATGCTCTTTAGAGAAATTTACCAACGGTCTCACTGTCATAGAATTAATCAGATTACAATGCGAATTTGGCTCATATAGGAAACATATCGTATTAATTTATCTGAATCTATGGATATAAATATCAATGTCAAGAACTTAGATCAGGTATCCCAGTTTCTTCATCTTTCTTGCTAAAGAAGGAACAGAAACTCGATAACACCATGGCCAAGAACGCTCCGTTGTTTGTGAAGATGGCAGCAGTACTCTCACTTTTCCTGATGCTCATTGTATTGTCAGAAAGCAGATTCACCCTAATCGGTAAGTCATTTAGTTTCCAACTTTTTAAGTGTTACCAAATTCAGAGCGTTTTCTTGTTTTAATTTGTATATTGACACATCGATGAATGTTTTGATTAATGGAATCGTGAACACGCAGATGGTGTCCAGAAGGCAAAATTAGCCCTTGTGTGCAGCCAAGTTGTCGGTGTTGAAGCTGGCGATGATTGCACCATCATTAGCAAAGAGTTTGGGATGAGTTTGGCATCGTTTTTGGCAATTAACCCCAACATCAATTGTGAATCGGTGTTTGTGGGTCAATGGGTTTGTATTGATGGAAGTGCCTAATTCATCAAGCTCGAAATCTAGTTGCATGAAATATCCGAATGAATAAATTTCTGGATAGACTTGCATTTGCTCCAGTTTGATGTTATTGCTTAATTTGTACTACTAAATAAGAAAAAAAAATGAATCTTTAGATCGATGATTCATATCTAGAAAGTTTGTGTTTTTCAAGATTTGACTATGATTCATATCATATTGTTATGTTATATTGAATGTATTCTCACCGTGCAATTCATTTGCTTTGAAAAAATATATATTTTACGATTGTCTATTATAATGTTTGCTAACCAAAATGCGAAACCTTGTTCATGCACATACAGGATGATGAATCTTAATGCTATTGTAGATTAATTTGGTCAAATGGTTGAGTTTGAGTTTTGATTTTTTTTAAACGGCAAATCGAATCAACTCCTAAACGACTCCTTAATTTAAACAGGGGCGGAACACAACCATTTGAACTGAGGGGGCCGAAACTTGAACTTATAAATAAAATTATATAGCCAAAGTTAACCTACAAGTATTATTATTTTCATATTTATTTAGAGTACATTTTTACAAACATTTTATTAATAATAGATCTTTAGAAATGTATTGTACTAGAGATAGGAGATATAGTAACAAACAAATAAACAATAAAAGTTTATAACTTCAAAATTAATATAATTCTATCTAGTAAAATGTAATCGATTAAATCATTAAAATATGATCTATTTTTTAAACTTCATAAGAAATATAAAGCTAGTCTAGAAAATTTGGTCTATTAACTTGAATTCAATAATCACTAAGTATGAATATTTTGTAAAGTATTTTATTTCGTAATATATCTCAATCACATAAAAAATTATTTTTAATTGTACTTCACCATAGAGACTATAACACTACCCATACTCAGCTACATTACTTGTTTCTATGTGTTACTGAGACTTATCATCATTATTATGAAGCTATTCATATAGGATACAAATAAGATTACCGAATGGGTTTGAGACTGTGAGTAACGAAGAAAAAAGAGATACAAAGGACGTGAGCATGTACCTTGATTCCAACAAAGAGGAGAGCACGAACAACAAAGGCATAAGTGTTGCCGATAATTCGCTCCGGCGACTCAGAGAGCAAGAAGCCGGTGGAAAGGAGACGAGGCGAGGAAAGAGCACAAAGCCCGGTAAGTTGTATGGTGGAAGATTTATGCTTTCAAATCCGGGAATATCATGTCGGAATCTTCTGGTTTTAGTCGGATTAAAAGTAAGTTGCACATGGTGGTGATGATAACATTTAGGGCTTTATATTGCTTTGAAGATTTGAGTTGATAATTGTTTTTTACTTTGGTATTTTGTAGATTCCCCTTTAATTTTCAATGTTAATTTCGTTTTCGATTCGATAAGATTCCTTATTCCTAGTTAAATTAGGTTTTATTTGATAAGATTATCGTTTAAATCAATTTTCACTTTGCTAAGTTTACAATGATAGTCATGTTTTTTCTACAATTAGATAATATAATTACTTGTAGTCTTGTAGATACTAACCTTTGAGGGACCGATTACTTTTAATTTTTAGATAATTAGAATCCCTGGTTCTATAACAATGAATACTAACTAGTTAAAAAAGTTGGGGGGCCATGGCCCCCCTAAGCCCCTTCCATGTTCCGCCACTACCTTTAAATCCACACGTATCTCGGACGGTACTTGAACCCTTAGCCTCAAGGAAGGATGGCAACATCTGATACCGTTGGGCTAGAATGACTTATAAATTTAAGAAACTGCAACATGGTTTTTGCCTTGTAGTCATTTATGTCTATCGTTACACAAAAGCCCTGACAAAAAAAAATCAAATCAAATCATGCACCTGAATAATACATTTCCATACAATAAAATACATTCTATATAAAGATGTGTTTAAAATATGTATATGATAGCGGATTATCTTATGTACATGTGTTGTATCAATTTAGTTAGCCCATTATATGAGTATGTATTTGGTTTGTATAGGCCCATGTAACTTGTATTTATTCAGATTTGGCAATTCAATACAGCAAGGTGAAAATCATTCATCATATCATGGTATCACAGACCTACTCTTTTATCTCCTAAAATTTCTCCTTGCTTTTCTCGTTCTTTTCTTCTTGCCTACTTCATCTTCTTTTCCGATTTGAACCCTAATCTTGCACCATGTCAGGCGACAAAACTTCTCCTTCTACCCATAAAGCATATGTTATAACCAATATCAAATCATATGTTCCCTTAGTTCTGGATCTTACCACCTTTAATTATGATCCATGGAAGGACCTGTTCACCGCATCGCATATGATGTTGTAGATCACATAGATAATTCCTATGATGCTCCTAGCAAATCTCCCACCAATGAAGAATGGAACAACATCGACACCACGATCAAACTGTGGCTTTTTGGGTCAATTTCATAGTCTCTTATCAACTTTGTTCACTTTCCCAATGCTTCTGCTTAGCAAATTTGGCTCAACATCGAAGCACTCTTCTGTGAAAACATCGATGCCACGGCCCTCCAACTCAAAACCAAACTAAGGAGTATTTTAATGGGGGATTTATCATTTCATAATTACTGCATCAAAGTCAAAAAGATTGTTGATCTACTAGAAGGACTCGGCAAACAGGTGAAGGAAAAACATGTTGTCATTCACGCTATAAATGGTTTGTCTAGTAAATTCAATACATACCAAACCCTTCCCCATTTTTTCAGAAATGTGATCCATGCTCGAGGTTGAAGAACATCGCCTTCACACTACCTTTGTTCCCTCTCCATCTCATGATCATCACACACCTGCTCTGTCTTTGTTACATGTTGGAAACTAGTCATCAAACCACAATGGTGGTAGCTCCAACAATTATCGTCGAAATGAAAGACGGGGCCACAACACCAATTACAATAATTGTCATCTCCAACCACAGTCTCCAAACTCCACAGGCGCACCACCTCCAAGCAATTGGTATGGGTGGGTATATTTTCCACCACCGAAACATGCTTCAAATCCCACATGGACTTCTCATCCGTTGAATCAGCCAACAATATTGGCCATGCACACAACAACAACAATTTCAGCCTAGTTATTCCTAGGGACAACCCAATTCAGTTTCAAATGGAATCCTTGGCATTCGACCAATACAGGCCCACCAAGCAGCCTACATGATTTTGTGCAGCCCAACAGTCCTGATCATGTTTAACAAGACGACTTTGAATGACTTTGAATGACCCGGGAACTGGAGGATAGGTTACGGACACCGGGGCAACCGATTATGCCCACGCAAACACATGTATCCTAAATTCCTTTTGAAATACTCCTTATACACCCCATTCTATTTAAGTTGGTAATGGTTCTGCAATACCTATTACGACCTCAGGACATACAGCCTTTCCAATTCCAAATTTATATCATCCATTACACTTGCAAAATGAAAGAACCTAAACTTTCATACTAAAGACATTGTTACTCCAAGTTACTCCAAAACATGCTACACGCATATTTGAAAAAAAAATTTACATTGATAATTTGATTACAAAAGACTGGATACAAACCGACTAAGTTTTAGTATATTACATAACTACCCAGGATATTAAAGCTTTTATACAAACGTAAATCCAAGTACAAAAGTAATAGTATAAGCTATTCTAAATCTTCCAACAGTATATGACTATATTGGATGCTTATTACCTGCAATTGTTAAACACTGAGAGGGGTAAGCGGTGACGCTTAGTGAGTTCAATAATAGATACAATATAACGTTATGCCATATATATACCAATATACAGAAACATCGGGGAACAAAGAACAAAAAAGACAGATGAGTATCATATGACATGCTTTCCATATCAACAAATAATCTGATTCAAAGATCTATAATCAATGAGACATAAAAATTTCAATACTTGATATACATCAATAAAACTTTTGCCCATATGGCATGGGAAAATAACTAATTTCTGAATAAACATTTTGGCTAGCAAATTATAGGCTTTCAGCCCTGCATAACCTTCTGCCAATGCCAAAGGAATGCTTAATCATTCACTTCATGGTCAAATGCTACATACCAATACCCAAGTGAAGCTTATGTCATACACTTCAAGCCAAAGGTATAGCTCCGTTAGTATTCCGTTAGTATACAAATCATGCTTTTACATAGCCAAAGGTATAAAACCAGAATAACACAGGAAAGTACATTGAACATATAACACATAACATACAATTATTCCTATATATTGAACTCACCGTGAAATAATCGGGGGTTAAAGTATTAATTTGGGCAGCACTTCGTGTCTAAAAATGACTTTCTTTGATGAAAACGGGGAATTTTAGTTGAAAACCGGCCTTACGCGGGCAGAGTTTTGACTTGAAAATATGATTTTCTCGGGAACTTCGGAGCGTCGGGACTTGCTTCGGGTGTCGGGGATGATACCGGGACTTTGGGGGTTAAAAATAGGCTAAAGAAGGGTTTTAGAGTGAGAGAAAGTAGGGTTTGTAAAAAACCCGGAGGTCTTCGGTTTCTATTTATAGTAGAAGGTTGATCCCTCGAACACAACGCGTTCCTCGGAGGTTTGTCTGGGGACAAACATCAAGTGAATTATGGAATCATTTGTGTTGTACGGGGACAAACATCAAGTGAATTATGGAATCACCTGCCTAATGAAAGCCAAGAAAGGTTTGTCCAAAGGATGTATATCATATATGGCATTCGTGGTCATTGAAAAGAAGGAGAAGAAGGAGATGCAGAAAATACCCATGGTGTGCAACTTTCCGGAAGTCTTTCCCAAAGATCTTCCTGTATTGCCCCCAAATAGACAAGTAGAATTTCGAATAGACTTGTTACCAGGAACAACGTCGATAGCTAAAGCAACATATCGATTAGAACCGAAGGAGATGAAGGAGCTTATGATACAACTTCAGGATTTGTTGGACGAAGGTTTCATTAGACCCAGTTCATCACCCTAGGGAGCTCCAGTGTTATTCATGAAAAAAAAAAAGGACGGGAGCATGA